TAATCCTCATCACTATGAAATCTTCTTAGTCTACTTCACTAATTCTACACTAATATGCACTTTTGTATACAATGGATGCGGGTGCGGTTGAGACATTGGGGAACTTCACTAGACTAGCGCTTCTAAGCCATACTTGCCCTTGAGACACATTCCCAGGCAAGCATTAGCTAGGGTTCGTCATAAGCCAGGTACTTAGGAGCTGGGTGCGGGCAAGGTGGTGGCAAGCCGTTAACCCACTAGTCACATCGCTACAGCTTGTCCGTCAACGACCTCAAGACCATCATCGAGTACAAGGTGCTCGACTTCAACGCGCTGTTCCTGTCAACACCGTTTGCGAAAGCACACTCGGACTTCTATGACATGGTGATTTATGGTCTCAAAGAACCCCTACCACGGGCCACGATCTGCCGTGACCAGGTGGAGACGTCTATCGGCGAACTACTGGGCTCGTACTACCTCAAGGAAGTGTAGACACGGCCGACACCTCCGCGCGCGCCGACTCGCTCGTGTTCAAGCAGGAAGCGGCCTTCAAGACCGGGCTGCACAGTGCGGGGTGGCTCGATGCCACCACTCGGGCTAACGCCACGACCAAGATGTCCAAGTTCACCCACCTCTTGGGGGGGCCAAGAACCCCAAAATGTACCCCACCTAGACGTTTGACCCCAAGGCTTACATTGCTAACCTGAACAAGGTGTTTACATTCGACAGTGCGTTTACTTTAGCTCATATCGACACTACCTATGACAATCAGATTTGGAAGATTACTGCGCAATCCGTGAATGCGTACAACGATCTGTTGAAGAACACGATCGTGTTTCCCGCCGCCATCTTGCAGTCCCCGCTATTTGATGCCAAGGCGGACCCGTCTGTGAAATATGGCGCAATTGGCTTTACTACCGGCTACGAAAACACCCACGGTTTCGACCAAAACGGTCGCGACGGGAAAATCAATCTGTGGTGGACGGACGGCTGCCGCGACGAAAACGTTCCACGAAAAAGCCAAGTGCTTCATCGAGCAGTATGGGTCAATGGAAGTCAAGAGCGCGTTCACGGGTGATTTGCTCGGAAGTTGGACGGTAGACGGTAAATGGACATTGGGGGAAACCATCGCTGACAATGGGGGGCTCAACGCTGCGTACCGGACGTCCCGAGACTACGTGCACGCTGTGGCCGATGCCACCAAGTACACCAAGGGAGCAAGCGAAAAGATGTTTTGGATCAGGTACGGCCAATCGTGGTGCGTAAAGAACAGCGATAAGTTCCTTCCGATTCATCTGACCAACCCACACACCCCTGGTCGCCACCGCTTGACCGGATCGGTTCAAAACTCGGTCGATTTTGCCAAGGCGTTCAACTGTCCTGTGGCCTTGCCCATGAACCCGACCAAGAAGTGTGTTTTGTGGGAATAGATTTACAAACTCGATTTGCTTCGAAGTGGTGGTTTTGGCCACAAGAAAATCGTCGTAATCACAACCTTTGCAGTTTAACTGTAAATGATCACACCACGTATTTGAGATTCGGTATGAATTTCCGGACCCCCCGAATCGGGCACTAATCTCTCCCATTGGCCAATCCGAAATTACTTGTCGCTGATTGGCTACAACCCATTTTCGATTTTCTACCGGAAACGGCAAAGTGTATATTATCCAACCAGATGTCTCGGTACTATTTCTGCTGGATTGCTGTGAACGAACCATCTAAAATCGGGAAATTTGAAGCAAATCAATAATAAATCATCGAAAACTATTACTTTTGGAAGGCAAGGTTGTTTTTTACTCCTATTGCAATAGTAGGAAGAAATGCCCTGTGTGGTGGGAGCTCACGTACCGTCACTTTCCACATCGTGACCTAGCCAATTTGTCGAGGTCATTCAGTGGAAAGCGCCAAGTGACTATGGATTTAAATTCGATCATGGTGCCGTGTGCTTCTCAAGAGTAAATAACTTGAAAAAAATGAGGCGGAGGGTTTCAAAATTTCGAATCGTAGGGGTGTGCTGTGCGACTATGATTGCATACAAAAGTCAAGTTCTGGCGTACGAATTCCGTAGAAATGTATAATTCTGAACTTGAGTCCGAGTTAACTTCGCGAAAACGAAATACTTCGAAGTACTAGTGGCGTGCGACGATTTGTCTGTGACATGCTTGTCCAAAACGCATCGGATCGAGCAACTTCACGTGGGACTTATCGAATGAGATTTATACGGATAATGTACGGATAATAACGAGACTTATTGGAGTCAATCTACGGCAATTTTCACCGCCCATCAGATGTATTCCCGATTCACACACACAGGTCGCTGCACTCTGACTACATGTAGTTGCTATTAGTACGGTAACAAATGAATCCCACATGACGACTATTATATGACATTCAATAGGGGGAGTCAATTTAGGAAAAAAGATCAATTTTCATTTTCGATTCTGCTTTTCACTTTCTGCTTTTTGTCACGAAAACCAAAAGCACCTACGCGAGGTGCTTTTGGTTATTAAGAATCAAAAGCAACTTGAAGTTGGTGGAGCCCACCCATGTACTACGTAGTAACGATGAAAATACCCAATCATCGCAGTCTATTCCAAGGCATACAAACACGAATATAAACACGAAAACGCAGCGCCAGTATCTAATTGTCAACCGAGAGCCCAAGCCGCAAGTGACGATATCAGGTGTCGTAGGGAGCATGAAGCGCGAGCTTAAGAGCATGATGAGTTACAGTAGAAGCATACCTAACTACTTCGTCGTCGAATAAGACGACCGTGCAGTGTGGGTCGTAATCGAGGTGTCCAAATTGGGCACCGCCATTCGAGAGCCTTCGACAGTCGACGACAACGAGAATCCCAACCCTCCCTACCTGACGTCACCCCTCTTTTGAATGCGAAACTTCGTCACTGACAGTGAACAAGACCTCTTGTTGAGTGACGAAGTTTCAAGTCAGAACGTGGTTAGTGATCATCCATCAAGACATTGACTAAGTTGTGTATAAGTGCTGATTTATTTCATTATTATTTATGTTATTGAATCAATTCGTTGTCGATTGCCGAACTGATCGTTTGAACGATCACAAAAAAACATATGATTTTGAAAACCACGAAACGGTAGCAGAACAAGAGGTCCATACTACTAGTAGTACGTATAAAAGACATCTTGTTCACTTAGAGTACGGAACATTTGAACCATCAAAGGCCCACCAAAAGATGTACTTTTGGGGCTAGTATTTGCATCAGTTGATGTAGCTACTGTATAGGGACGAACGTTCTCCCTGGTGATGACACCACCGCAAAATTCCATTCTTGTTCGGTTCTAAAGAAACCTGTACCTCAACACACAAAACGTGCATTCTGCAATGGCTATTCCCCGGGTTCGAATCTCACTGAGACCATTGGGGGAGTCATCGGCCTCCTCGACATGTTAGGAGTGAGCGTGGTAGACTTGGCTCATCTCATCCAACAAGAGGTCTATGCGTGAACTTCGTCGCCGACTTGTTGTTGGAGACGCGACACGATAGCAAAGGAGTCCATGGGTTTCTTCAAAAAAGTGATTGTGAGTTATCACTACGCGCTACTCCGAGTAGGTATTTGGTGTAGAGTCGCAGCAGATATTCACTGTCAGTTGTGTAGGATATTGTCATGTAGGTTGTAAATGTGAAATAGCGTTGCCATATTGTTTTTGAATCGGTTTATTCTTCAATGACGCAGTCTTTGATCATTTGTTCAATCTCTTCGTCATTTACAACGTTAGTTCAATTTTAGCCAATCCTATCACATTTACTTATTTTAATTCTATATATATAGTGATGTACAGTATTATTGGCGATCACTGATCAAGAAATTTGTAAGTGAACAAGAGGTCTACTAGACCTCTTGTACTAGTACACTGTACGAATGACTTTCGAGGGCCAAATTGACTCCACAATGCTTTTGGTGGAAGCTAATAAAAATACAAAAGAATATAAATTTGCTTTTCACAATCGAACGAAAAGCGGAAATTTCCTAAATTGACCCCCCTAATCTAATGTTACAGCAGAAATCTATCATGTCGTTGCGCATGCCGCGGTTCGACGCCGCAAATTTTCTCACTCTCTAAAAAGTGGGCACACCCTTGAGCTTATCGATTAGCATACCATGCCCATTCTCGTACGATGAGTTAACTGTAAGTGTGATGTGAGCTCTGACAAATCAATCTACGTAGTTCTCACTAATTCGTTCACCCTGATGATGCCGTCATCACCGCCCTCAGAATCGGGGAGACTTGGTAGTCGATGTTGAGGTCTGTGGCGGCGACGTTAGCAGGGTGGGCACATCGGCCATTTGACGTAGGGCTATGAAAGTCGGTGGCGATCAGAGGTTGAATTAAGCATCGAAAGGGGTTTTCGTACATGCGCACAGTTCACTGACGCCGCCGTCGCATCTCGTGGTCATTGCTACTTGGAGTTCAGTAAAATGGTAATTTTATGTATATTGTGTGATGGAACTTCATTTGTTTATGCCAAATATTGCTTTGGATTATTATTAATTTTGATATTACTATGAATCCGGATAGCATAAATCTGATAAATCGAGGCGAAACAGTCCTATTATAGAACTTTTTCAGGTCAGATTTATGTTTGGATCTGGATCTATTCAAATATAAATATGTCCCCTATAAAACCTGCCCGTGGGAGCAATAAGTCCAGGGTGGTCCTACCTACTAGTAAGGGTTATCCGTATAAATCGGAGCTTTAACTCCGGCCGTTGGAGTTGCTCTGAGTGCCAGCATGTACGGGTGCGTGGTGGACCCTACCGGTAGTTTGAACTGGTGACATTTCCATGTCAAAGCAATCAAGATCTAGTAATCGTTCCGTATGTCTACTTTGGCGCAGTTACACTACTAGTACGAATCCTACACGCAAACGTTGTGACGTGGGTTGCTGTAGTGGCTGCTATCGGCGTATATGGCGCACCCAGCAGGGTCCCAATACTCACTCCGCCACCACCTTCGTCTATTGTGATCGGCCACCCAATTGTGGGATTGGTGGTTGTTTTGGACATTTACAACGACGTCGAATTCAACTGGCCCCGCCTGTGTCCGGGTGAGCCAAGTGTCAGACTCTGTCTCGGGTTATCTACGGCCCCCCGTGCGGTTAGTTCTACCTCTTAGCTATAGAGCTGGATCATGGTTTTATATTGTACATTTGGTTTGGCTACTGTGGCCTACAGTGCGCTTCGTTCATGGTGAGAAAAGCTCGACCCCACCATCTAGCGGGCGTCAGGGTTTTTGGCACTCGCGGCGGCTATATACGCTGGCCCGACCTACTGCACTTCTGAACCGTTGACCAACATGTCTCTCGTTCAGTGGATCACCTCATGTGGTTGGACCGACTCGTCACGACAACAAAGATACGTTACGACTGTCGACAACTTCAATGACTTACCCTCCAGAACGTCGTTCGTCACGTTGGCGGCAATGTATACCCCCGTGTTTGTATTGCAATATCGGTATAAATCCGTTCCTTTGGTGTGACATCGAAGTCTTGTGAGTACAACTAGTAGCAGCAGTTCTTCGCCCACAGTCGGGCGGTTGAGCCTGCTGTTCTTGGTCAACTTGGAAGATAGTGTTTGGCGGCTACGCCAAGCTCCAAATGTCAAACATCCATGTGTGCGCGGGGTGCAGTGATCTAATGAAATGCGAGCTAGAATTAACGTGGATCCATATTGTTAAAGTGCCAACGAAGGTACTACTGTGCATCGTCTACGCCCCTCTTCATCACATCCTCCGCAGGAGGAGGATGGTATTCTATGGCACTTACATTGAGTTTGTCGTGGCCGCATAATTCGCTGCTAAAGTACCCTGGCATTCATTGATCATGGGGTGTCTGTCTGTCATACACACTTGGATGGACACCTTGGCATCGCTTCTTTGAACAAGCACTGCCACCTACACGACATGTACTGCCCTGAGACGACCGATGAGTGCCCCTTGTGTCCATGTTGTTTACCGACTTGGGATTGTTGTGTTAATTCTAAACTCGATCGACATCTATCTACACAACCATATGGGCTGCAGAATTGAGCCAATCAATTGCAGGAAATCATCGTCAAAATCACATTAATCACATTAGTGCATTAATCACATTAGTGTGTGTGCATTAATCACATTAGTGTGTGTGAATTGATATAGTCCTTTTTACAACACAAATAATCGATCGATACATTTGGCGATTCGGAATAAAAGTCCAAATCTTGGGTAAAAGGTCAATAATAAACTGACTATAAATACGCAACATGCGTGCAATGTAATGTAGGGACAGTAGTGATTTTCATAGAGGGGTTGGGTTATCTTAACGCATACGCGTATACGCATTTTGCACCACTTCCATCGGCGGCCCTCCTTCGTCGTTGGCCGATGGTCGTAACAGCAGCCCAGCACCTCCTCCATCCTCGATCGTGTTAAGTTCGACGTCCCCCCCCTCCACCTCGTTATTTTGGTGCGCCTTTCTCGCTTCGTGTCGCTTGTGCAGCGCCCCCGTGGCACTCAACGTGTTGAAGATCAAAAACTGGCGCGCGTAATACAGCAGGTAACCGACGCACCCGGCAAGGCGGACCGCATTGAACGCCGCCACGAAGTAGTACAGAAACGGGAGGTACCATTCCGCCTTGATCGATGCCACGGCCACGGCCACAAACGTCATGTTGGTAAACACCCACAACAAGAGCAAGTTGGTCCGGAACGCGTCAAAGCGTTTCTTGAGTTCGTCTTGCTCTAGCGCTTGCCGTGCTTTTCTCGCTTCCAGGGCCTTGCGTTTGGCCACGACGTCCTTGTACTGGCCGACCGCGCCGCCGCTCTTGACTTCGCCGTGGCCACCCGAATCAATCCCCTTGGTCCCCCAGCTCAAATCGTGCAGGTTACAAAACGAGTACACCATCAAGATGTTGACAAAACTGGGCAGCATGGCCGTGTACTGGATAAACGTGAGAGCGATGTGGTGCACTTCACAGTGCAGGGCCGACCCGACAAAGAACGTGCCGAGAATGAGCAACGCCAACACAATCGCTTCGGTGCTTTTGGTCGCGTTAAGGAAGATCACAATTGCTATCACAGACGCCATGAGCATGAGCCCTCCAAACAGGAGCGACATGACGTAGTGCGTGGCGCGCACATGTTTGGGCTTGTTGCCAAGCCCAACCGCCACTTGCGTGAACACTGTCACAGCGTACAGCGCGTTGAATACCACGGGCACGCCATCACGGATTAAGGGGGATACTTCCGACGTGTCGATAAAGTTCCACCGGTTCTCCTGGAACCCTTGAAAGATCACAAAGTACAACGCCAGGTAAAAGTTGGCAGGCAGGAACCACGAAAACACGACCTGAAGGATGTTGTACACGTACAGCAACAGCAGCGCGAGCTTGCGGGCTATCGAGTGGTTGCTCTCCGTGTACACCCGTCCCCAGTTCCATATGCTAAACAACGTTGCGAAGAACGACCCGTTGAGCCAGCGCCTTCGCTGCCCGATCAGGTCAATCAGGTTGGTCGGTACGTCCGTTCTAGCAATCGCGTCCTTAACGTAATGCATGGTCCAGTTGCAGTTTTTCCGCGCCAGCAATTCAAAGCACAGAATGCGATCTTCGGCCAAGTACATGTTGCCAGCGAACGGCCCGAGGTCGCCCATCGACGTCGTGAGGCTCTTAAAGTACGCCTCCAACGGCTCCCCTCGAATTGCCTTGTATCTGTACGCACTGAACGCCCCCGGGAGCACAGAGATGAACCCAAAGCACGACTCGAGCGATTTGTCGAGGATGTTGGAGATCTTGTATTCGAAATGCTGGGCCGCCACGACCCAATTGCACATGTTAGGGATGGGCTGGTCGACGGCAATTTCTCCGCATACGCCGCCGATCTGGGCGTTGATTTCGAGGGCCGTGAGCAATTTGTAGAACGAACTCTTGGTCGGCATGGTCCCCACGTCCAGCAAGACGGTGTAGTCGGGCATCACTTGCTCACAGAACGCGTCAAAGTACCACAAGTGCGAGTCGAGCTTGCCAGCGTTGGCCTCTTTCAATGCAAACGCGACTTGGAGAGGTGGGAACCGGAGGCTCTTGTCTTCTTTGGTCCACTGCAGCGAGTGCTCAAAGAGGTGGCACTGCACGGGCACCCCCGTGGACGTGATGTGCATCACGTCTTCATCGTACAAGCCGACGCTGCCGAGCCAGTCCAACGTACCCTTGTTGGCCTTGGTGCGGCCGTCGGATACGACCACGACCAACACTTGTTTCCACGCGTCGTCGCCCTCATACCCCGGCAAACTGCGTTGCTTGAGGTAGTACACGTTGTTGCATACCTTGCGCAGAGTCGAGCGCAGTTCCGACGCGTCTTCGTTATACATGGTGATCACGACCATGAGCTTCGGACGGCGGCCGCTCTGGATGCACTGCAGCCGATACCCCGACTCGGTGAATGCCTTGGCGGAGCAGCACACGGGCGTGTACACCATCGTGCGAGCCTCCGACGCGTCGAGTTCTGGGGAATTGTGTGACCGATCATACTCGACTTCTATGGCCATGGGTTTCGCCACGCGAAGGGGGGCGCTGTGACTCTGGTACCGCTCGATCCACTCGGCGAGGTGCTCGGCCCACTCGAGCACCTCTTTTCCCTTGTGCAGCAGCAGGTTGCGCACCTTGGGACTGGCTTCCCGCTCCGCCGCCGACACAATTATCTCCCCCCCATCCAGAAAGTGCTTGAGAGCCTCCCGGAATCGCCCGTCACCCTCGGCCTGGATCGCGCGGTCGATGGCCCGGAATGCATCGTCGATCGTGAATGTTGACGTGAGAAGCAGCGCCATCGTGGAGCTCTTGACCGCGGCGTCCTTGGACGAGATGGGCGCCACGTTGTTCAAGTACGTTGGGGTGCTCGGAGGCGGGCGCGGAATGTTGGCGGTCGCATGGCTGTAGTCAAACGTGTATTCCGAGATGGCCGAGGTAGCTGCGGACGGCGATCCCTCGTACGGAGTTTGGCGCGACCGACCACCGGCCGTGGGTTGTCGGCGAGCCGGTGGTTCTGGATGACCGGTCGCCGACGTCGACCCACGCTGGTAACTCGGACGTCGGCGACCTTCAGATGGACGTCTTGGTGGCATTGGCTTGTCGTTGGGCTCGACAGATTCGGTGTGTGCTCTGGACGCGGGCGGTTTGTTCATTTTCGGGTGAAGGGGTAGAAGGACGGCGCCATACCGGTTGGGGCAGTTACAGCCGCCTGGAAATGTGCAGATTAACCGGGATAATTGCCGGTTACAAGAACAACCCACATACTAGATGTATTTGGTACTGTTGGCATGGAGCGCTCTCCAAGAACTATTCCATGGTAAATATTCTGGCAAGTTTACAGTTAAACGCTGCAACGACACTTGAACAACGGCAGGTTGCCCTGACGTTGTACCGGTATTGGAGCATGAAGCTGCACAGGGGCTCTTCTCTGCAAGAAATTAGACGCACGATACAGCACAGTATGGTGCGGTAGAAGATACTTGTGACAACTTTTCTTATAGGAATGACTATTTAACGTAACCGATCGTCAACATTGTGGTCTTTTAATTGTGTGGCATCAATGCTGGCATTGGCTGGCATTGAAGTGGGAGCTACGTACATACCGTCACCACCCCGTATTTCGATCTCTATTACGGTGGCTTACCTGTACATTTCTTGCCCTCCAGTTCTATCGGTAACAAGTTTATGGTGAATTCGAGGTGCGGTACCTTGGTGGTTACTGCGACAACGAACGATTGTCTATCAATCAGGTACAGCTGTCGCCTCGACTTGAACCCATGTCGCAACAGAACCAACTTTCGCAACTGCTTTGCATATACACCTGGAAAATCTATCAAATGACCTGGTTTATTTCCGAGCGAGGCCTCCGATGAGTTTGTCGAAGCGACGTAATCTCCGACGTAGTTGCATGTGGGTGTTCACTATGTCGTGGTCAAACTTATCGACGTAGTTGCAGGTACTACTGTAGTAGGTGAATCTGGAGTACTGTAAAACACAATATTGTTTCCACCAGTACCAAACACACTCGACCATGTCAGCCTTCGACCCGGTTTATCCGGTCGATTGAACGTAAATTTACATATGGCATACATGCATTACGTCGAATGACGACTACGTCGCTTTAGGCTTCCTCGATAAAGATGCCGTAGCAGGAATAACTACAGTAATAGTACGTACATGTATGCTTACTCAGCCAAACGTCACTTAAAGGTTGGTGCGTTAGAATTATTTAACCAGGTTTAGTGTAGACGTCTAGGGGTCACCCTAATGTCATAGTGGTCGGGTTCGATGCCCCGAACAACGATTCTTTTTCCTGAAATGTACAGTACCTTCACACTATAAAACAATATTGTGTTTTACAGTACTCCAGATTCACCTACTACAGTAGTACCTGCAACTACGTCGATAATTTTGACCACGACATAGTGAACACCCACATGCAACTACGTCGGAGATTACGTCGCTTTGACAAACTCCTTTATCGCGAGGTGGAAGGCATTCATATACGTACAGATCAACGGTGATTGTTGATGATTCTGTAGTGGATGACGGAATTATCGTATTAACGTAAGTAACGGTAGAACTTCGAAGTACCATTAATAGGCCAAATTTCCAGCACAGAATAGTACTAGTACAGTACTACGTAGTAAAAGCGTAGCTCATTAAACTCGTGAAATGGTTTATTTTTCAGCGACTAGTGCCGTGGCATGATTAGCTCAAGTTCAAGTTCAATCGGGGTATATTTTGACCTTTAACCCCTATATATAATTGCCTATACCTACCTCTAAGTAGAGAACATGACTTCAAATCACAAAACTACGAAGTCTCGATGGCTTGGGCTAAGACGCTTGAAGCCTCGAAAACCAGTCTGCTGTCTTGAAGGACTAGGGGTATTTTCGCCAAAACCAGGTGTAATGTTCATGCGGCTTGAGTTGGTCCAGAATATGAAGTACTTCAGATTTCTCGTCTTCTATTATTGACAGCCATCGTCAAACCGTTGGCACTGCACGATTATCTCACTGGGTAGAAGCTGTGGTTGGAGTGGCAGAGGTCGCTGGTTCGAACGCCTGCGTAAATTTTTATTTTTCTTGAAATCAATCAATTCCTTTTGCTGGTCGCACCACACACCAAGCAGCAATCCTAATTTCTCTAACTTAACTTGGCAAGGTGTCTCTTCAGTCCAAGCAAGGTGTCTCTTCAGTCCAAGGTGTCTCTTCGCAGACCAACGTGTCCTCTTGCGCAACCAAGGTGTTTCCCCGACGATACATAAATGGTTGGTTGCGCGTAGCTTAGTGATAGCATAGTAGTCTTAACGCTATCAATTCTACCATCTCCTGCGTCTTCCTCTGCGCACGCTCACATTAGTAGTACGTTAAGTACTTTCACAATTCTGAGCAAGACAAGGTTGATGATATTAGGATGATGCAGCCAGCTTGACACACTACTTAGGGGTTGATCAAGTCGAACGTCGACTTTTGGGACAGCAACGCAGTGTCGCAGTGCACAACGTACAGATTCTCGTCAACGTTGAGACAGAGTCCGATCGTGCCGAGGTGCTGAATCTGGCCCGTGAAGTCGTTGTAAGACCACGACTAGCTCGGCGTGTGGTCGCATACGCGGCCCTGCACCGAGCCAGTCGTGACCTTCCTCTCGACCAAGCCCAAACCACCTGTTTTGTTGTTGGGTTGTAAGTTGCCACCACATATTTCAAGGTCATAGTGATAGCCATTCATATTGGTTTTTTTGAAAGTCTTCCGATAGCTTTCACAGTATGTGTCAACCAACACCAATATACTGTGTGTCTGTCATGCACTCATATACAGGTATAAGTTCTATAGAGGTTGAAATGAAAATGGATTGACATATTTAGAGCATGTTTCAAGTATTAATAATTTTGAAAATGGGCATTATCCAATCAAAACGCTCCCCAACTCATTGCAAAATTCATTTTTCAACATGGGTACATGACCTCATTTCGTCCCATTTTGGGCAACTCAGCTATTTCCCCAATGACTGGCTAATTATGGATGCCCACTATCCAATCATTGATCCCAATCGCATTCCAACTGTTCAACTTAACATCATGACTCGATCACTGTCGTGTGTGTTGCTGCCGTTGGCGTTGCCCTCATGTCCATCGACGGACGTAGCAACCGCGCCCCTGCCATCAACACTGTTGTCGTACCCATCCATGCCGTCACCACGACCTTACCCACTTGCAAGCAGTATCGTCGGACGACTTCAACGTGTCTCTGCATGGAGTAATGCAACGTCATACTACTGTAGTAGTACATACGTCAAGGTCGTCAAAGGTAAACAAACAACCACGTGATATTAACGTTACTCCTGAAGTAAAATTTATTCATTTGCGTGCACTTAAATTGTTCGCGAACAGAGGAAAATGTGGAGAAATCTAGGTAGGCCACTGTCAACAACTTGACCCGTAAACACTGTGTGTTTCTTACCCACACAAGAATTTCCAAGGAATCTTGATTCGCAAACGCGTCCAGCTCGACTGTCAACACAACAGATCACTTTGACACTGCCAAAATGGTCACTCCTTCCTACGAAGTACCAGTACTACTTACTACGTTCAACGTAGTACAACTTGCGTACTACTACATACATACTGCTATCGATGTCATTACCACTAGGAAGCCTCACGTTTGCCATTGATATGTGACCTGTACGATAGAGCAAGGGTCAATTGGAGTCCCACAATATGTGATTTTCTTGAGATCTCATTCGATATGAAAATCGTAGGACCAGCACCCAAACGATTTTGTCAATTCACAAATGAAAAGCGATATTTTATGTTTGCTACAAATTCGTACATAACTTGGAAAAAAATTGAGGTTGAGGATTTCAAAATGGCGAATCGCAGGGGTTATTGCATACTAACTGTAAAGTCAAGTTCTGGCCTACGAATTATGTAGAATATACGATGAAAATGAAAGCTATACTTCGAAGTATCTGATTTGTGTAGAATTATTTATATAGAAAGGTTTAGATCGAAAATAGGTGGTACACTGTGGTACACTGTACAGTAAACTTTGCAGGACCTTTATAATACGTAGTAGACGGATAAAAATTGCACTACAGTATAGTAATACCGTTAACCTTACAAAAAGTAAACGATGAACACATGAGGAGACTATGCCCAAAGCGTATGCAATTGGTATGCAATTCTGACTGTACGCAGGTACTGTACAATAAGGTATGCGTGTTTGTTTCGTTCACTGTCAATCGAGCACAAATCGAGCAGAGACATCTGATTGGCTAATATCCACTTCACCCTTTTTGGTACAAAATCGAAAATGGATTCTACTACTTCGTACTTAGTACTAGTACTGTAGTAGCTAATCAGCGACAAGAGATTTCGGATTGACCAACGGAAGAGATTGGTGCCCGATTCGGTCGGCTAGATTCGATTGGACAGGGTTCCTAAATTCGTACGGAATCTCAAATCTACTTGGTGTGATTTAAACTGCAACGGTTGTGATTACGACGATTTTGTTGTGACCAAAACCACCACTTGATTTACATCACTTCGAAGTATTACATTGAGTATGTGTATCTATTCCCACAAAACACATTTCTTGGTCGGGTTCATGGGTGAGTCCACAGGGCAGTTGAACACTTTGGCAAAATCGACCGAGTTTTGAACTGCCCCGATCAAGCGGTGGCGACCAGGGGGGTGTTCGTCGGTGAGCAGAAACTGGAGGTACTCGTCGCTGTTCTTTGCGCACCGCAATTGGGCGTGCGAGATCCAAAACATCTTTTCGCCTGTTTCCTTGGTGTACTTGGTGGCTTCGGCCTCAGCGTGCACGTAGTCCCGGTACGCCCGGTATGCCGTGTTGAGGCCCCCATTGTCGGCGATGGTTTCCCGCAATGTCAATTTGCCGTCCAACTTGCCGAGAAAATCACCCGTGAGCTCGCTCTTGACGTCCATGGACCCATACTGCTCGATGAAGCACTTGGCTTTTTCGTCGAACGTTTTCGTCACGTTAGCAGTCCACAACAGATTAATTTTGCCGTCGCTGTCGATGTCGAAGGCATCTTTGTTGTCGAAGCCGTGGGTGATTTCGTGGCCGATGGTACTGCCAATGGCAGCATAGTTCACCGACGGGTCCGCCTTGGCATAGTAGAACGGGGGCTGCCAGATGGCGGCGGGAAACAAGAGCGTGTTTGTCGCCTCATGGTACCCCGC